CTCAACTTCATCTCTCCTCATCTCCATCTCAATGCCCTTCATCTGCTACAGTCAACTGTTGCACCTAAAACTTATGCTTAATACAAATACAAATACAAATACTTACACGCTTCAACACACACTCTTATGTAATACTAAATTATCGGATCAACTTAATGCCTAACACATACCTTCACAGCTTTTCTGCTCTGTTGGCGTCGCTAGCGACGCTTGGGCTCTTCTCTCATATTATTAACATTATTTTTTTTTTCATATATGAGCAATCAAATGCATATTTCAAATTTACAAAAACATAAAAAAAAAATAATATCCCTTTTTTTTTTTTTTTGTTTTTTTGAATAATCAGGGACTGTTCATCAACGCTTGTTTCGTGTTTTTTTGGTCTTTTTTCGTTCGGTTCGTTTGTGTTTTAGTGTATTTTGTATGTGTGTGTGTGTGTGTGAGAATGTTCGTGTGTGTGTGTCTAGTTGTCTGTGTGTGTGCTTGTTGGTCATTTGTTTGAAGTTTTACCTGATCGAGTATAAAATTGCGACGCCGCTTCATAGCAATGTCTTCCAGGCCGCCGAGGCTATTCAAGCAGATCTCGTACACCTTATCCCAGCGACCTTTGTGCACAGTTTTGCGCGATTCTCCATCAATCTACAAAGAAACAACAAATATTTAAACAAAGTTTTCAATTGCGATAAGAAACTATTAGTCATTATTGCAATGATTCACTTAACTATACTACTTAGAAAATATATATTTTCCATGTTAATAAATGCCCGACTGGCATATACCCTGACCCTTTGGTTTCCTCAGAGACAACTCAGCTCGTCATCCTCATTCTTCTACCTGTGACATACATTTCCACAAAATCTGAACACCCTAAATTTCCATTTACAATGGATTTATAGTTTATTTATGTGGAAAACTAACAGAAAACACCTGTGCTATATAGAGCTAAGCCATATAAACTATCTGCTACCATAATAAACATTTACAATGAAATAGAACTATTTATACCATATTATAAATATTATTGAACACTCTTTAGTCTACTAAGCTAATCTATCCAGCTAAATCTCTATCTTAACTACTTTTTTCCTTCCACACTTACCGTCATTTTGGCTATTATGGAATCAGGTCCAATGACTTCGTAACGCTTGTCGGCGTTCTCAGCAACATGCTTGAGTGTCCAGTGCGTCTTGCCGGCACCGGGCAGGCCCACAAGCAGAATAACCTCGCATTCCTTGCGCGAGGCAGGACGCTGAGGACCGGGCACCAGTTGCTCGATGGGCACCAAAGCCAATAGTACATAGCCCGGCAAAAGGGCGACAGTGTCCCGTGGCACGGGCACAACATCCTCGTACTCCTCTTCAGCCGCTTGTGACTTTTCAGCAGACTTCTCCGTTTCGGATTCAGTTTTGGTACGCTTGTTGGGCGATGGGCCGTCCTCGTCCTCATCCTCAGCATTGGCTGACGCTTCATTGCTTTTGGCTGACTCTTTGGCAGCTGCCTCTGGCTCGGCTGCAGCCTCAGCATCAGGCACGCTGTCGCCATTGGTGACCGCTGCTGACTCAGTGGGCACAGCAGCTGTAGCTTCAGCCGCTTCCTCAGCTGAAAATGAAGGGAATTTTCATTATAAATGTAACATTAAATGCAGTTGATTAACTCACCAGGTTCCATTGCCTGATCCTGTGATGCAGCCTCAGCGCCCTCAGCCTGTTCTGCCTGCTCCGATTGCGACTCTCCCTCGCCGCCAGCCTCTTTGGACTGCTCATCTTCAGTGGGTTTACTGCTGGCATCTGCATTGGCCTCCGGCTCTGTCTCCGCCTCGGCCACTTTGTCGCCATCTTCCTCGCCCGCAGCTGGTTTCGCTTCATCGTCCTTCTTCTCGGGCTCATCATCGTCAGCGGTCGCCTCGTCCAGCACCTTCCACTTCTCACCATCGTTGTCATCGTCTTTATGCGACTCGGCACGTTGCTTGCGACGCTTGCGTGTCGGCCGTTCGGCATTGACGAGCAGCTCCTCGGCATTGGAGAAGTTCACTGTGTACTCGTAGCCCTTGGTGACAATATGCGGAAAGAGAGCACCGTCCTCGCCCAGACTGCTCTTCTCAAACTCATGGGCAATGCCCAGATCTTCGCCATTCAGCGTGTACCTGATGTTGCACGGCGTACTCTCCAGATCCAAGTAGCATCCAATTACATCGTCCAGCTGATATGGCTTGCCATAATCTTTGAATTCGCCATTGTTGGCCTTGCGGCCGCTCTCGCAATAGCCATAGGAATGTTCAGCTTCGCCCAGCAACAGCGATGACTGCGGCGTCGAGAAGCCCACACGAAAGCCTCGCACATGCGGCTCATCACGGAAATGATGCGCATTCTCTGGCACAATCTCCTCCGACAATTGCACCTCAAAGCATACCTTGCCCTCGCGCACGCCGTAATTGGCGCGTGCACCAGACCAAATAAGTGAATAGATTTCCGGGGCCAATGGCTTTGCCGACGTAAAATTGGTAGAGTCAATGACCAGATGGATATCAGAATCAACTGATGGGGGAAAGAAGATAATACATAAATAAATTAATGAAAATATATTAATATAGATCATTATATTATTTCAAATAAATCATTAGCTAATCAAAGCTAAGCTCTTAATGAAGATCTAAATTTAAGAGGATTTAAAAATTTATGAAAATTCAGATCTTCATTATCTTGATTATCAATGAATCAATTTGCAATGCTTCACTTACACCAACTGAGGCCCACTTTGTTTTCCTCTATGGTGGGCTCATCCTCGGCTACGGTACGTTGCTCCTCCACAGCTGCACCACCCTTGGAGTCGCGCTTATCGCCACTGCGACGTTTGGGTGAGCGAGAACTGCTGCGCGAGCGAGTTTTACTGTGTGAACGCTTGCGTCGTTCGCTCGACTTTTCTTGCTCTTGCTCCTGCTGTTGTTGCTTGTCGTCTTCCTTGTCTGTTTTGGTTCCGGTGCCAGCATCATCATCCACGTCCATTTTTTCACCATCGTTACCATTGGATTGGTGTGCGACATTCTCCGCATCAGCATTAGCATCGCCATCGGCATCTGCATCATTATTCTCTGCTTCTTGCGTTGCTATTTCCGCTGGTTTGTTGAAATCATTGGAGTCTTCTTGATTTTCTGTTTCCATAGTTGCGGGCTCCTCTGACATAGCAACATCTTCATCTTGTGTTGCTGACGGTGCAGCAGAGTCCGTTTGCTCTTCTTCTTCTTCCTCTGCGACCTGCTTGGCTTGATCATCCGGTTGCGTTTCCTGCTGCTCTTGTTCCTCCTCTTGCTCATCCTCTTCAACTTCTTCGACTTCTGCTCCCGAAGCAGACTCAGCTTCCGGCTCGGCTCCATGTTGTTCCTCCTCCGCTAGAGTCTCTAACTCTGGCTGAGTCGCAACTGGAGCTGCCGCAACCGGTGACGGTGATCGCGACATAGATCGTGTCCGACGTTGTCGACGGCTAGGTGTAACTGGGGCGCCATCTGTCGTGTGCGAAAAAAAAATGCAGTTCATATCAAATTCGAATTTGGGTTATATAAGGCGCGTTTACAATATACAAGACAAACACGCTGAGCCGAGTTACACGCACACACACACATTTAAAACCGTTCAAAATTGTATAGTACACATACATAAACACACGGGCACACACTCACACATTCATGCATTCGAAACCACAGTGATGCATACATACACACACATATGCACACATACTAGCTTACCTCCATCGCCGCCGCCGGCGGCAGAACCTTCCACATGTGCTCTCAAGCGCTCGATGAGCACTGCTTTTACACCTTTGGTATCAAGACCACGCGTCTGTAATTCGGTACGCAGGTCTACCACTTTCATCTTATCCAACTTCGCCAAATCCATTTTTTCGCTTCAATCTTGGAATGGCGGCAGGAGCGCGTCACGCACAAAAATATATACACACACACTCACGCGCACAACTGAGGCGAAATGAAAACGTATTATAGACGAAGTAAAAGCTATGCAATGTTAGCGCGTTTACTTAGAAAACGAATTTTTTTGTTGCTATTTCGCAAATATAGCGAATCAAATAAATTTTCGCAATTGCATTCGCATTTATTGCGAATAAATAATGGCTAAAACCTATACCGAGAACGCGTTGATGTGAAGTTGGCTGCGATTAACAATGCACGGAATGCCAAAAGCTATCGATGAGTTGAAATATGTTGCATGAGTAAGAGCACCTCTAATTTGAAGTTATCGATAGATAGAGCCTTGCACGATGTTTAAATCAATTGTTTATTATGTTTTTTACAAATTGACACATTTTATAATTATGGAAAACAATATTGCCTGTTTGATTAAATTCTTTAGGAAATGAAATTAACCTACTGCTTTCAACTATAATATATCAGCATATAT